CAACCTCTTGTGTGAGGCGGATGAGAACAAAATATCAATTCTTTCTCTTCTTGATCTTAGTGTTGTTTGACACTATAGATCACACTATTCTTATTGAACGATTGTTCAACACGTTTGACCTGTCTGGCAGAATTCTTGACTGGTTCAGGTCCTACCTGATTGACCGTACGCAATCTGTGATAGTGCACGACTCTCTTTAGTCAATTTTTAAGCTAGACTTTGGAGTGCCTCAAGGTTCAGTATTTGGTCCAATCTTGTATACGTTATATACACAGGCGCGTGAAGCTGTGATTAGAAAACACAATATCAATTATCACATGTACGCTGATGATACACAGTTATATAAATCTGTTCCACCATCAGATGTTAAAACCTTGCTTACTACCATGGGTCTGTGCATTGATGACATAAAAAACTGGATGGTTGATAATAAGCTCCAGCTTAATGAAAATAAAACTGAAATTCCTTTATGTAACCCAAAGAAAAGCCGTACCCCCGTAGACATTGATCATATTTGTACTGAAAATGAAACACTTTAATTTACTAATAAAGCAAAAAATCTGGGAGATTATTTTGATTTTAAAAAATCAAGGGAACATCATATCAATTATTTATGTACCATTTTGTTTTGTGAATTGCTTAGAATTGGTCAAATGTCTATGTTTTTTAATGTACAATCCCTTGAAAACGCTCGTGTCAACTTTTTTGTTTTCACGCATCGATTATTGCAATGCTTTACTAGCTAATTACCAAATACCACTCTTCACAAGTTACAACGTTTTCAAAATCATGCTGCTAGGCTTGTACTAAAGAAAAAGAAGAGGGACCACGTTACTCCCATGTTAAGAACGTTGCATTGGCTTCCCGTGTCAGCTAGAATGTCATATAAAATTGCAATATTATGTCATAAAAGTGTCAATAACAAAGCCCCCTCATATCTTAGTGATCTCATCCAGATTTATGTTCCATCTAGATTACTAAGATCAAGCGATCAGTATCTTTTAAGAGTTCCTAGAAAAGGGGGTAAACAATTAGCTGAAAGATCGTTCGCCCACTTTGCTCCGTCAGTTTGGAACTCTCTTCCACAACCCTCGAGACATATAACATGTGAGTCTAATTTTTTTTAAATCTTTAAGACACATTTAAAGACATCCTTTTTATGTCAGTAGATTCATGTTCAATACAATGTTATGTAAATGACTATGTATCCATTTATGTATTTTGTGAATTGCATTGTGTATATTATTTTTTGCTCATTTTTGTGACGATGTGTAAGCGTGCGCGTGTGATAAGCAGGTAGAT